ACCACCGGGGCGTCTCCTTCACCGGTTTCATAGTTACAGCCTGGGAAAGGGCATATGACCATATTGCCAAGTTGTGGGTTGAAGACTGCTGGGTTAGTTGTCCTGGGTGATCAATTGTTTTCAAACTTTCTCATAAGGCTGACACCGTATTGAAGAACGCTAGTGTGGCTGTTCTTAAAGCGATGAAATCATCATGAAGAAAGACTTCTCAGTGTACTTCATTTATTATAAACAGTAGATGATGATTTCATCTGTGAACACGGATTAACAGGGACAATGAATGATACAGGTACAACATAACATGAAATAATATTGGGTACACCACATAACGTACGGAGAACATGAACTAATATCATATAACAAATAACCATACAAAAATCTCGAGAACAGAAACCGATCGGGGAAAGAGTTCAAGTTTTAAATTTTCCCGAGCGTTCTTGGAGAAGGCCTCTATGGCCGCGGCTATTCAGATTCGAGTCGGACTCAAAACTCCAAAGTGCTTGCGCAATCAACGGGTGTACCGGATGTGAAGTGGACAGGCAATTCGACCATGGTCTTCCTCGGTTTCTACAATCTGGACAAAATTTTCCACACAAATTAAGAAAAGTATTAGAGACGTCAAAAGTGAACAACAGTCAACAGTGCAAAATCTGAAATACTACACAACAATGACAAACAGGGAAATGGCAATCTGAGCTCAAAGCAGTGAAAAAAATTTTCAGAACACCAAAGGATTATATAAAACTCTATCAATAGGTAGAATCTAACTTAGTCTAAACCCGCTTCATTTGAGAAACAATGTGAGGCGCACGAACAGGTTCACTGATCGGTCCCGATGGCGAGACTCTTTTTTCACCCTGTGTACATAGATACTGAGACTAGGTGCCCGGTTACCGTGTACGTAGATACTGAGACTAGGAGCCCAGTTAGTTACCGTGTAATAGACACTCGGTATAAATATAGATTTTATTTGTGTGTGTTTATTGTTAGGAAGAGGCTAGCCGTACTTAATGACGGCTAGACTAGTCTAGCCATACTTTAGTACGTCTAGACAGCTGGGCTAGCCGTATTATTCTTAATATGATGGCTAGACTATAAATTTTTAGTTTGCAGAACCCAGGGTTGGTGATTTTTTTTTTTTTTAATAAAAATCCAAAAAATCGATTTTTTACATTTAAATCGGATTTTTTAAATTTAAATCGGATTTTTTAAATTTAAATCGGATTTTTTTATTTTTTTTAATGTCAACAGTTTCGGATTTTTGGAGGCTAAAAGTAAGTTCTTTTAGTGCAAAATGCATTGTCTTTATTTTAACTAATGATTAATTTAATTAAGCAACTGCAATTTTAGAAAGCCTTAATCTGCTATATCAGTGAGTTATGGCTGCAAACAAAAAAAATGAAGAAAATGTCAGTCTAAAAGGAAGGGGGGGGGGGGGTAATTATGCATAGATAAACTTGCATTTTATTACAGTGTGTGTGTGCGCGCGCGTTTGTGTTTGTCTAAAAAGAAAAAGAAAATGCTAATTTCAATTTTATGAAAAAAAACTAAATTGAATACAATACAGTATTATTTTACTACTTACAGTGACAGGGGGGAAAGCAGACTTTTAAGCATGATTATTTTAGTCTACTAAACCTTATATCTGTTTTATAAAACCAAGGAAAGGAATTCTGAATGTTTAAAGATGTAAAAACAGAATACATTTTTAAAAAGAGATTTAAATCACTGAGTTCTATTTTTAAAATCAAGTTGATTAAAATTTTTAAAAATCAACTGATTTAATTCAACCCAACCCTGGTTTTCAATTATGAAAAAAAGTAAATTGAGAACTGTATTATTTTACAGTGACTGGGGGGAAAGAAGACTTTTAAGCATGATTATATTAGTTTATTAGTCTACTAAACCTTATATCGTTTAATAAAACCAAGGAAAGGAATTCTGAATGTTTAAATATGTAAAAACTGAATACATTTTTTTTTAAAGTGATTTAAATCAGTTGATTTTTATTTTAAAAATCAAGTTGATTAAAATATAAAAAATCAACTGATTTAAATCAACCCAGCTTTTATTTCAATTATGGGGAAAAAAAGTAAATTGAATACTGTATTATTTTACAGTTAAAGGGGGGGAAAGCAGACTTTTAAGCATGATTATATTAGTCTACTAAACCTTATATCTGTTTTATGAAACCAAGGAAAGGAATTCTGAATGTTGAAATGTGTAAAAACTGAATAAAAATAAAAAAATTTTAAAGTGATTTAAATCACTGATTTTTATTTAAAAAATAAAGTTGATTTAAATTTAAAAAATCAACTGATTTAGATCTAGATCAACTTGATTTAAATCAACCCAACCCTGGCAGTACCTAACCTAAAGTATTCGTATTTGAGACGAAACCAGGTGCCTTAATGACAGTCCTTGTATTTTAAACCTCCTGTTTTCTGTTAATAGGGCCTAAGATAAGTACGGCTAGCCTGACAATCTAGCCATCCTTAAGTACGGCTAGAATCTAGATCTAGATCTAGAATCTAGTATTGATGGCTGAATTGTAAATGAAATTTTTAGTTTGCAATGCCTGAAGTATTGGCCGACACTATTTCTCTGAACATTCGGGAAAATAAAGCTGGGCACTATTTCCCCGAACGTTCAGGAAAATAAAGCTAGGCACTATTTCTCCGAACGTTCGGGAAAATAAAGCTGGGCACTATTTCTCCGAACACTCTGAAATCACATCCTTTCCCGCAAATTTAGGATATTATATAGAGTATAAACCTACCAAAGATTGTTCGTATACAATATGGTTCAATCGGTCCAAAAAAGTTCGCAGTAAATATTTATAAAGAAATGCTACAGTTCCAAACGGTTTTTCGCTACAGATATGACGTGTTGCCTATGAAGGGTGCTGCTCTTAAACTTTATGTGTTGTGTTCACTCGTGTGCTGTCTAGATCTAGATCTACGGAGGGTTATTGATTTAACGACACATAGAACTAGCTTCTGCGTTTGTCGCGGCCGCGACCAATCAATCGTGGCTCGATTTTTTGGCATTTTTTGGTTGGGGAATAAAAGTCAAATAAAAAATAAAAAAGAAAGAAACCGAAACCTCTTTACTTTTGAAAGAAAGTTCACTTAGCTTCACTTAGTCTCTTTCTCACTTGTCGTCACCACGTTGATTTGTTGAATACGTTACAGTTACTTTTATTTTCCCTTTTTGACTCTTTGTGGTGTTTTATTTTGTTAGTGTGTAATTTTTTTTCTTGTTACTGTTCTGATGTGTTGTTTCTCTACCATTTTTTTGTTGGGAAAAGGAGGGGGGGGGGGGGGAATGTTGCATAGTGTAACGTCATTTAATTTGATGTTCCTACCTTCATTAGATTCTAATACACATATATAGATTTTTTAATGTTTTATGTTAGAGCGTACGTTCCACCAAAACCGATTACATGTACTGACACTGGCAGGCCCCTTAATGTGTGTGGTTCCATAATTTACATGTAATATCCTGTACTTTAAAAAAAAATTACGCACTTTTAGGGTTAAAACAGGCAATTTTCTTCAGACAGGTTGACACACACCCTTATTTGTTCATTTTTTGTGGTTGTTTATGGGCTGTTCGACTAATTTTGATTTCATTCTGTTGTGAAACCTTTCTTTTTCACGTTTTTACACCCATCTAAAAATCTCTAGACTAGCTCTTGAAAATTGAAATAGATATAGACCCAAAAATTTGCTCCTGTGTGTGTGTGTGTTGTCTATTCATGTGCGTGTGTGAGTGTGTCTGTGTGTGGTAGTAAGTGTGTAAGTGGAGAGTGAGGAGTGTGTGTGTTTTTCGGGTTTTATTTCAGCCTTTATTCAGTAACAGTTCAAAGTATACAAAAATAGAAACACAGGATCTATTCACTCTAGGGCTCATGAGTCGTTCCTCTCTTTCAGTTCCACTCATTCAATCAATTCCCGTGTTCTCTCCCGCGGCTCATCCCCTTCCTCATGACTTTCACACCCCACCCCCTCCCTCCAGGCACACACAAAGAAAATCTCACTCATTCCCTTGCACCCTGCGAACCATGGTGGGGGGGGGGGGGGGGTCAGTGTCGTCGTCTTGTAGTTGCTGTCGCCTGTGGATACACTCGTAAATTCTACCTTTCATCCGCTCTGTCACTCACACTGTCTCTCCATCCACAACTCAGCTCGTCATACGTTCAAAACTTGCCCACTGATCATGTTTTGTTACTGTGTGTATAAGTTTGTGTGTGTACATGTGCATGATGGTGGTGGGTATGTGATGGGTGTTACTGAAGGTTGTATCATGTAGGCGGGCTTGCCATGCGGTGTTCCTTCCCAGACCAGTGACCAGAGGTAGAATGAAAGTTGGCGCCGAACTCTCGCAATAAATAGGCAAAAAATCACGAGACCGGCAGCCGGAAACCGTTCGGAGAAATAAAGATCGGCATTATTTCTCCAAACGTTCGGAGAAATAGTCACTTCGTAAAGTATTTGTATAGGTGCCTTACTGACTTGCATGTATTTGAACCTGAATAATTACTAGATCTAGATCTAGATCTAAATCTAAATCTAGATCTAGATCTAGATTCTAGATCTGTAATGAGACCTGTGTACTTCACAGGTTTGAGTCGATAGGGCCAAACCTAAATCTAGATATAGATCTAGATCTAGATCTAGATTCTAGAGTCTAGAGATTTCTAGATCTAAGTACGGCTAGCCACTTCGTTATTGTTACTCTTGCAACACCTCTTCTCTTCTCGGCACTTAGGCTTAGGCTTAGATCTAGATCTAGATCTAGATCTAGATCTAGATCTAGATTCCAGATCTAGATCTAGATCTACATTCTAGTCCTATAGATTTGTATGACCTAGATCTAGATCTAAATGTAATCGTGTTGCAGGTGCCGTAAAACGTTAACTAAAACATGACAAAACAATTAATGATGCATGCAAGGGTGGGATGAGGGAGGGGCAGGGATGAAGAACCGAAAGTTACCTTGCTCACATCCTCGTGCAAATGTCCAACAAAGACAGAAAACAGATTTCTTTTACGAAAATGTTTCACATTATCTGTTGACATTGTGTAGATCTAGATCTAGATCTATTCTGTGTTTACAGACATTAAGCGACAGGATAGATTTTCTAGCCCTGGACCTAATGAAGAATCAAATGTTCAGACAAAAACATTCAAGTCCACTGTCTGCCTGACTTCCAGCTTGACCAGCTTCATAGTGAGAGAAGTCCGGCTAGGGTAACATTCGCTCGTGTGGCGGGAAAGTTGGAATCGATACTTCTAGGTCAAGGCAAAGATAGTACAAGACAAGATGGGCCACTCAGCCTAAAAAGTGTCCGCAGGAAGTATGCTCTTTGCTTCAGATGGCGCTGCAGTTTGTTTTGAAGCTCTCTTTCGTTTTTCCAGAAGAGAATAGGAATAGCACCTCCTTGCGTGCGCAGATCGACTGCTGTTCATCAGCAGTTCGGGTACGTTCAATGCGGAGTTTTAGGGTTTTTAAAAATTTTAATGACCTCTCGCCTTTCATTCTAAAGTCAAATTAAACGAAGAAAACCATCTCCCTTTCCTCCGGAAGAGGTTTTTTTTGTCAGCGTAACCATTTTTAAAAAGCGTTCTTCCGAAATTTATCCCAAAACTTGCTAGTTTCACTTTAATTTTTTAAAACTCAAGTAGGGTAACTCTGTTCGCACAGAGTGCGCTTTTGTGAAGAGGGCGCCACCAAATTTTGAGGACACTTTTTTAATTGGCTCAAAGAGAAAAGTGGCCCCTCTTGTTATATAGACTCATTGGTCAAGGGCAAGGCGCCAATAGGCCCAGAGACACTAAAATAATATTTAAATTAAATACTCTCTGATAGGCCTTGGCTGAGACGAGAAAGCTAGGCCAAAGCTCTAGTAGTAGTAGGCCTAGGCATCCTTGGCCTCGGTCGGTTGAAAGTGACGGTCGGCGACGTTCGCAACGGTCGGCGACACTAATTTGACCACGGTCGGCGGCAGTCGGCAACAGTCTGCATTAAGCATTGTATGTCAACCATGATGTCAACTGACTATATGTAACCAAAAGACTATGACATCTCTCTCTCTCTCTCTCTCTCTCTCTCTCTCTCTCCTGAGATGAATTCTTGAGGTGTCCTTGATTCACTAGCTAAATAGTGCTTTAGATCTAAATTTATTGTGCTGTGAAATTTTATCGAATGAGTTCACTTGAGCTCCTGCTCATATTGCAGCCATCGAGAGTTTTTCATTGTCCGAAATGACTCGTAAATATTGCCAGCAACTTTGACAGATACCTTCCAAAACAACCCGAGTGTACTGTTAAAACATCAATAA